AACATACGAGCATCTTGTTGTAACCAAAGGTCACGATTACCGTCAGTAGGAGGGTCAGAATCTAGATGAGAAGCCATTCCCATACTTCGGACATACAGACGGACCGTTTTGATCCATTCAAAGTAATTAGTACCGTTAAGTTTATTATCGGTAACTCTACCACTCGTCGGGATCAATTCAGGTATACGAACACTGTCAGACGACTTGTCATCGGATGACTTGTCTCCATCTTTAGCCATCGGAGATGGAGCGGATGAAGATGGCGACCTTCAAGAAGCAAGAAACAGTTGGGATGATGCTGGCGGCGGCTGGCGGCACGTGGGGCGGCGGACAGCGACTGGAAAACACCGGGTCGGTCGTCTGAGTCAGCGGCGGCGGTGCAGCGGCAGCGGCAGATTCCGGCGAACAGAGGCGGCAGCGGCAGATTCCGGCGAGCAGAGGCGGCAGCGGCAGATTCCGGCGAGCAGAGGCGGCAGCGGCAGATTCCGGCGAGCAAAGGCGGCAGCAGCAGATATGGCGGCGTCTAGGGTTCAGGCGACGGTGGCAGGAGTCCGGCGAAGTCGGCTAGGGTTCCGGCGACGACGACGGCAGGAGGTTTTCAGAGTGGCTTTGATACCATGTGATCAGAGGGACAGAGAGACGAAGTATTCTTATTTACTGAATAATTAATTACAAAGGAGAGGCGTGTATATATATAGACACAAATAAGAAACCCAAACCCAAATAAGCAAAGGCTTGTACGGCCCATCAGAAACCCTAAACAGACATACATAATATTTACAATATATTCTAACAAGTATGATCAAAAGATCAAGACATCTTGACGAAACCTCTATGTTGATCAGAAATCACCGCTAAATGCAACAAGTTGGGCTGATCGACATATATGCTCTATCTTGAGGAGTGTTATAGATGCTAATGAGTCTAATTACTTCATATGTATCTTGTTTGTGGTTATCCATCTCCTAACATTCGTTTAATCTATGAACAAAGATTTCTCCGACGTAATAAGACTATGTTCACTGAATTATAAAGCATCATCCTCATTCCATAACTAGTTATTTCGGTTTTCCACTAACGGCTTTAATTATAACCTCGGCTCTATTTATTGGTCTGAGCAAGATAAGTGCCATTTTTACATCAATAAAAGCCAAATTTATCAGGATATGATTCATGTGGATGTGAATATGGATATGAGCATCTTATTCGTATCAAATACTAAGTAAATGAAAAGCAGTAATCACTGTCAGGAGAAATGGAAACACCTTTCGTTTTCTATTATCCATGGGTTGGACTTCAATGGCAAGGCATGTATCAACATCATCAGCAGTAACAAGATAATTTGGTTGCTTTGCACCTGCTTGACAGTTTCTCTCACCAAAATGGATAAAGAAAGACAAGAAAAAAGACATAAGAGCATAAGGAGGAATACCTTCTATATAACTAACAGACCCATCTTCCATGTGCCGTACCCACTGTGAAATAAGAAATAAGACTATGAAGACTAGAAGGGATCAATTAAAGATGCTTATAGAAATGTAATTGAACTCCAATAAAACCAATGATTAGAAATTGAATGTTGAAACAGCAAATTGGAGAAGCTCAATAAGCTGACATAAACAGTACCTCAAAATTACAACTTGTGGTTCCATTGAGAGAGTATCCGCTAGCTTGAAGTTCTCGACCTGGGAAAGCTTCACCTGAAATTTGGAGTGCCTCCACTACAGGTAATGGATCATCATCTGCAGCTGAACATTGTAATAGACCCGTGCAAAGGTTAACTAGCCTATGCTAAAAATATATCCCATGATCAATATAGACACAAGAATATTACCTTCAGAAAAAGAAGAACTAGGTTCTTCAAGGACTGGAGTTAAATATGGAGAATACGAGTTGGGATCTTCGAGTGTGTTTGAATAAGCTGTGATCTTGGGATTCCAATTGACAAATGGTTCTCCCTCATTTTCCTCACGGTGTCCCTCCACGTCAAAATCCTCAACATCGTTACTGCTAACAGGGTCACTAAATGTAACTTGTTTGTTGGTAGTTTCTTCATTTTTACTTGTAGGATTCAAATTAGGCTGGTCACCAGCAATCTGTGAGTTTGTCGCAAGAGAATGATTCTTTCTGCAAAAGGCAGAGTGAATGTGACGCCCCACTAACAGTTATTATCGAAGTCTTATATGAAGCTAAAGTGAAGTCAAGCTCTTTGTTGGACTCTAATAAACCTCCTTCAACTTGACCACTAAAAAATTTGCACATAATTGCACTACATGTGCTATATTTACTAGAAAAATGAGTCAAGCGAAGATTTTGTAGCAACAAAAATGATGTAGAAAATCATTGGGATAGAAAGACAGATGAATATCTGAAGAGCCGAACATGAGAAAAAGCACATCAGGCACAACAAAAGACTCCCCGTCTCTAACACAATAAACCACCAACTTTGAAGACGCACCACCCTCTAGCCTCTCATCCCCTCCCCCCAGCCACACTCCTAATTGCAATCAACTACCCTAATCCGTCGCCTCCAAGGACTCCCTTCTGATAGGAACCTTGTTCTTGCTTCTAAAATATCTCTGACAGAGTCCTCTAGTATTATGATACTTCTTATAGGTCAATGGAAAAAAACTCACTTGTATTGCTCAATCCATTGATAGGTTAGGACATATACTCATCTTTCTCGGCTAGCTATGCCTGTCTCAGTAATGAACATATATCACATCCCTCAAAATACTTCTGAGGACCCAAATTGCAGGTTACAATCCACTAAGAGATGACTTGCTGCCCTCTAGAAAAACAAAGCATGGGATCTTGTTACAGGCAAGGACACTGTTGATTACAAATGGTTGTACATATGTCAACCTAACCCTGAGGGTTCTCTTGCTCGCCTAAAAGTCCAGTTACTCACTACAGGCTATTTCTTAGGTTTATAGTAAAGATTATGACAAGATATTCGATCATGTGGCAAAGATGACATTTGTTCACCCGGTTATAGCTCAACCATCATTGAGCTATCATATTTGTTAAATATCAAGAGTGCAATTCTCAACCTTTTATGACAATACAGCATCTGGTTTTTAATATTCTGGCAAAACCCTTGCATGGATTTCAAATTAATACTATACGTTAAAAGTCAAGCATGTTCAACATTTATGCTCCAACTTTAGTGTAAAAATAATAGAGTTAATTATGTCCTTATGTATAACTAGGTCATTAGAGTTTCTCTTGAATAGGCCCATGGTCCATTATTACAATCTACACATTTAACAGCCTTTCATAAATAATAATAAAAATTAAGAGAACCTGCTGCAAGAATAGTGATATTATTAATAATAATAAAAAAGTAACCAACCATACTATATAATATTATCATTCGAATGAGTTATAGTATATTTATCGTAGAGTGAAATTCTGTTTCTTCATGTGTATGGCTTACATGCTATCCTCGTACCTTTCATTTTGCTCCTCACCAAATGTATTGCCTTCCAAAGCATACACCAACACCAAATAGTCTTGATGGTGACAAACCGTCGAATACGGAGTACCATCTATTCTTTCTTTAACAGACTCAAAAAATCATGTGATAACGTTAGCTCAAGATGGCCACCTCATTGTATAACAATATATGAGAAGCAATACTCTCGAGTAAGTTAGAATATCCATGTGTGTAGAAATTTCATTTGTTAGGATACTCTATTCTGTCTCATCAAAATGCTTTGATTCACTTCTTGCAGGATTAGATCCATTTTTTGATTGAGATTTAGGAATAGTTGTTTTCCTAATTAAACTAGACATGTTCTCATGAGCATTCACGGCAGCCACACACACACACATATATATAAAAAAACTATGATGGTGCGAGGCCCTTCATTACCCCTATACTTCAACTACAATTTCCCTTTCTAGAAGACCCAATTTAATTAAGTTGATCCATTGCTTAACAAGATTCTGGACACGTAGCCTCCTAACACAAACAATTTTTTGACTACAAAACCCTATCTCATTATTGCTTTGTGGTGTGCCCTTCACCCCTTTATCATTGTATTTTTCAAGGGCAAAGTTAATTACTCGAGTGAAATGATAATGCAACAATGGCAATTCATCAAGAGATTACTACTCAAGAACAGAACTCAATCAAACAAATATATATATATATATATACCTAATAGATCCAGATGGTTATAAATGTATTCAATTGGCTGAACGGTCTTGATTTGATAGGCCTCAGTTATTACCTGTTTATAAGAGGTGAATACCTCACCGAGTCAGGCTCTGAATTTTCTGCAACACCATCTGAGTGCCCTGGTACATCCCAGCCTCTTGCAGTCAGATGGTCTGAGGGAATCGGCCCTTGTCCATCAGAGTATGCTTGTTGTGGAACCAATTCCAACCCGTTCTTGTTCTATAAAATGGAAGTCTTTTTGAGAATTTTGCAACACTTTGGTGAATATCATAGTAAAACAATGAGCAGTCAATATGGTTGCCCCTACCCCAAAGGAATACAACGGTGATTGTGCAAAACTAGAGGGGTTCACATCAGAACGCCAAGCTGCTAGCTGATATTGAGACTCTTTTAGCTTTGTCTGGCAGAGCCACCAAAAACCAGTCATCACAAGATATTGACAACCACAGAATACTTGCAAGTGAAGTCATTAGACACAAAACACAACGTACCTCAATACCTATGAGCTTCTCTTGCAAATGTCTAAAAAGAACCTGTCAACAGAAAATTTTCCGACATTCATGGAGAAGAATATTGAAAATTACAAGAGGCATCAACCACTCCTTGAATGGAAGTACATATGTTGATCTAAGATGTCAAAACAAATACCTGTTTACAACAAGAATAAGAAAAACAATTCCTGTTTCCAGACAATGAAGTTGACTATCATATGGCAACATATAACTCAATGATACTTGGTTAATCTTACAGAAAATAAGCTGAAATCTTTGCCATTAACTTATTACATATTAGATATCTCAATCGTCATCAGATACATTCCAGGGCACCTGGGATTAGTCGAGGTGCGCATAAGCTGGCCCGGACACCCATGGTTAACAAAAAAGATTCACTTTTTTTCCCAATCAACTAATAGAAAACCTAACAGAATGTGACTGCAGAAAGGCGGTTGATGAAAGGACTTTGGCGTTTTGAATATCAATTCCTATGACCTGCTATTTCTATTGATCTTCATTCCACTTATAGACCAGCATTGTTACTAATATTACTAAAAGAAAACAAGGCCACAAAATTTTAAAAAAGGCTACAGTACTGAGCACAAACCTTAACATTACTAACAATGGACTGAGCATCAGCAACTGGTGGCTGAAGAGAATATTCGGCAAGAAGAGGCATCAAAGATGACACAAATGTTGATCTTTCCTCTTGTGCATCCTGAAAACAACATAATGCAAGCTTCAAATACGCATATAAGTTCATGGAATCCAACAAACAAAATAAACATACCGTTGAGAAAAAACATGAATATATTTTGCACTCACCATTTAGTAAAATAGTATCTTCCATATAAAGAACACGACACATAGAAAACTAATAATAGAATAAAACAATTACAACCACCAAATCCCTGTGAACATTGGAGAAGGAAGGTCTACAAAGCAACTTCAACAAATTCCCATAGCAAATGCAGATGCGGTACTCCATAGATAAGCACAATGACAGTTAAGACAGAAAATAAAATAAAAAAATCAACCAGACCACCACCAGCCATACAACCCTTGACTAACATGTAGGCCTCACATCTATAAAGCTTAGAATGTAAATGAACGCCTTTCCAGAAGAGATGCAACTGAGAGAAGCAGTTATACTGGAATTATGCAATACAGACTTGGCAAATTACAAGAATGAAAGCAAATATTAATCAAACAACTTATGAGTATCGGGACATTCCTATTATACATGTATCAGAACTACTCTCCCAATTAAATATCTATAACTCAACTTCCAAGCAACTACACCATACAATTCCAGACACCCGAGGATTTAGCTTCCATTTATTTATTCATGGTCTCCATTCACTAAGGGGAAAATGCATGAGTTCCAGATAACACAAATAGCACCTTCCGCATCAAATTAGCGTGCACACCATAAATCTAGTTCCCACCACTTCAAGCACCCTCTGAAAAGAGTCCGCCCATGAGAAATCATTATATCTATATCTAAGGTACTTCCAAATAGCATTTCAGGACATGGAACATGTTAAGATATAGAGCTATATCTGATCAGGTCACGTTTACCTCTTTTTCATGATATAATCTGTACATAGAAACAATATTGTTTACAGTAGATCATCTCTTCTTATCCAAGTATTCTATTTTTGTTTCAGAACTTAATGCTAATTTCATCCTACAGACTACAGAATGCAATTGAAAATATTGCATTAGTAATGGGAAATGTCTGACGAGGAGAAATCAGCAAACATTACCAAGAATTTCATTCTAAGATTACAATATCCAATTAAAACATGAGTAAACTTGGTTACTCCAAAAATCTATATTATGAACATTTTTGTGCTTGAATAAATAATATATACAAATCATTTGGAAATAGATGTCACTTCATTCCTTGCCTGTGTACATGGGAATGAAGTGTATAGATCAAATAAAAAATTAGATAAGATGTTTCTTAATGGAGTCTGCAAGGGTTGAAAATTGAAAACTTAATACCTGTAATGCATATGTTAGGCGTATATTTTCTTCAATAATGTCTTGTCTGTAAGAGAGGGCTTTAGATGCCGCATCAACGAGGTCCTGCTGCTGCTGATCGAAGGCCTATAGCAACCATCATAACTTTTAGTATATGGTGAGGGAAGAGGACACCAGAAGTGAGATAAGTGTAAATAAATATCCTGCCAACCAAACGCATATAAGCTATTCGCTTCTCCAATGCAAACTTCTCATTGTGTATTTGGGCTTCCTGTCAACCATAGTAGCTATATTACTACATGAAAGTAAAGCAAAAGCAACCATACAAACCTAGTAGATCACCATAACGGATCCATACCTTGATTGAGTAGTCAACAAGATACCTTCTCAAAAGCAAAATCTCTTGCTCTTGATCTCGGGTGTCAACAACAACCTATACCCATATATTGCAGAAAAGAAAGGTCAAGTTGGTACCAAAAAAGTTGGTCCATTTATATGTCTACCCAACATGACTCAGGTTATTTGCATGATCATAATATCTTAGAGCATATTTTCACTCGACCAAACTTAAACTTCTACATTTCTGATGCGGTTATCACCTGTTAAAATCTTCTTTTGATATTAATCTGCTGTAAAAGATACAAATATAATATTTCCAAAAGCAGTATGCACACGAATGCCAAATACCACAACAAAAAATTAATAGTGGATCTAAACATCAAATCCAATTCAGGATCTTAACAAAAGCAGAAATAACACCATGGTCGAATCAATTGCATGGAAATCAAATGTTTGCAAGATATACAACTTTCATAATTCAAAGAGTTCTAAAACAGGTGATAGTAATAAATACAAGATTATACCTGCTTTAGGGGGCTACCAGCATTCTTTAGCTCAGAAATTGCCACCATCCCTTGTCCATGTCCAGACACATTGAACTGCGGATCATATTCTCCTTCCGATCGATACCTAATAATATGTGTATGCAAATCCGTTCATGTCAATATAGCTAAATATTTAAGAGGGCATACACCTTATACTCCATCCATCATTTCTTGAGGCAATATAATCCAAAATACCTTAAAGGAGAACAAGATGCTGTGGCCGCTTGGGTCTCCAAATGGCTAATGCACCTTACACCAGATCCATCATTTATTGCTCCATTTATGTTTTGGGTCTCCAAATGACTCCCCCTTGAAACTTGAACCGGATCCACAACATTCCCCGTAAAACCCTTTCTGAGGACTGATCTGGATGAATCATAGAAAGCAGATTCATTTCCAGTCTTAATTCCTTCTGTTGGACTCATCGACGGAGAAACAGCTCTATTATCTGTCTGAGGTAGATAACCATGATCACTCCAATGATCAGTCGGGTGACAATTTTCAGCCTTTGTATGACTTGATTTCTGCCAGAAAATCAACACTCACTCTTCTACAACAAAGAAAGGTGGTTTGCAAAGCTCCAAAGTATGCAGCATGCCTCGAGAAATATTGAGTGGAAAATGGTAGCACTAAAAACAGGATTGATAATAAAAAGCTTAAATTAAGTTGATTAGCGTGAAAAACGTTTATGTGGTGTAGTTCTCGTTTACAAGAGAGATAGAATGCTCAAAGTTCATGTAAACTAGGAAGAAAAAATGCATGGTCTTCAAGTGGTTCTCCCAGAAAACTGAACAAAACTTCTTCTCACTAATGTCAACTTCATCGTGCAGTCTTAACAGGCATAACAAGCACAATGTTCATTCCCTTTAAATTACTTCACAATCTGTGGCAGGAAGTAGAAGACACAGAAGGAATTTCTTGGTATAATAATGCTACCGTTACAAAATAAATAAAATGTTCGTGAGCACATACCTCAATTAAAGTGTGTGACTATTAGTCATATATGTAAGACAACCTCAATAATGACGAACATCAATTCTTCATAACGATTGCTAATGGGCAAAGAGAGTTTCCAATCAAAAATTTGCCAAAAGGAGGAATGTTGCATTTATTACAGGAACAACCCAAAAAGAAATCGTTACATTTATTTTGGGAATAGGGAGCAGTTAGTTCTGCAAGCATTCCCTTATAAGAAACCAGAACAAGCCTTCTATTCCAAACAACCTTAATCGCTCCATTCTACCACCTCTCTTTCCTTGGAGACAATGCAAAATGGTATCACCAACTTCTAACAAATTAGATTCCACACTGATAGTACATAGTGAATATGAGATTTAAAATATACATACAATTATAAATGTACCATATACAAATATCATATTATGTATAAAATCATCAATAGCTTAATTATAACTCCATATGGAATACCAAAAAAAAAAATTGGTAACTCATGTACATATGAAACAAGAAGACAGGCATTCATAGCACATTTTCTAATGTCAGAGGCGTATCCAGAAAATTTTCGAAGCAACCAAAGGGTCACTGGAAGCGGTACCCAGGTTACTGGTACAGTGCAACTCCGAGGAGTTCAAGGGTTCAAACCTCAATAAAGTTGAGTAGTGTGCATGAGTATTTGGCTCATACTTTAAAAAAATTCAAAGTTGGGGCACAAAGTAATTAACGTAATAAAAAATAAAACAAAAACTGATCATAAAAAAGTACATTTTCATTTAAAAATGACATACAAGTGCTTTTTTGCAACACCCAAGTGGTTTTTTGCTTTCTTTTTTTCATTAAGGCCAAAGGGATTCAAACTTGCAACTTGTAATGCCACATGCAATGGCACTACCAGTAGGCTACAGCCACTTTTTCTTAACATAGGGAGCACATATCAAGTTAAAACGGATGCACCTTCAAGACTCCTAAAAAATTTCCACTACGACGGCATGATAGAGCAGTAGCATGCCCCCCCCCCCTCGTGCATGTTGTGAAAAACACGTTTTTCACATAGCACAACTAATCCAAACAGACCCAGTAAATCCCACGCAGAGGTAGGATCTGAGGAGAGTTTGATGTATGCAGATTACCTCTACCCCAAGGGGTATAGAGGCTTTTTCCATGAAGACTCCCAGCTTGAGAAACGAATTATTTAGAACAAGCGAGTAAGAAATAGGTGAGAGTGTGTGCAAACAAGCAAACAGACAATGTACACAATGTAACAGGACAGAGGAAAGAAAATAGGTTACGCAAATAAGGGGACAGGGAGCACAAAGCACAGTATAGACAACTACAATTACAAGAAGAAAATCTAGGACTAAATTACCATGGTGCATTATGATTCAAACAGAAGTTGATTGTGACATTTAAATCGTAAAAATACCTAGGAATTAACTGCCTGCATAAAGATTGAATGATTGTTACACCCAACTCACTCTAGAAAGTCAACGAGAACAAAGAAAAATCAGCCAGCACCAACGTATAAAGAAAGTATATCATAAAGTTGATAGTGACTTTGTGCTAAGATATTAAGAACGCAATCTAACTCAATAGCTGGTGGGGAAAAATTATGACAGCTGTTAAAAATAATGAGGCTGCATAGGAAAAGAGAGAACATATACATAGTTTTCAAGCTCCTGGATCCTCTTTTGAAGCTCAGACCTCAATCTATGATTCTCTTCCACCTTCAAAAGAGAAATTATATAAAAAATGTGGGTCAGAAAACAGGAGAGGATGAGAAGCAAGAGTAACTAATAAATCAACATTAGAAATATAATAATATTACCAAACACATGTGCAATGGACAATGAGGAGAGGGAGAGAATGGTGGCCCAGTCTGAGTATGAGATTTTAAAGCCAAATGAAGAAAAATTCAACTGTACCCCTTGCCTATAGGCACGAAGAGGATGCAATATCACAGAATCATTCATAAACTCGGTTTCATGTGAAAATCAACACGAGAACTAACGTTTCTCCTGCAATTTGGATAGACTAAAATCATCCAGGATGTAGTTTTTCAGCATGTTTATATGTTATGGGTTGGATTGGAGCTGAGGGGGTCGGCGATCAAGAACTTATAACCCAGATTGTGGAAGACGGTCAATCCAAAACCAAAAGTGACACAAATTCCTCTCGTTTTGAAGTAGGATGTGATCAATAAGAATAAATTATCTCCCACAAAGAATTGCCAAAGATAAGAGAAAACCTACTATCCCAAACAGCAGTCATGAGAGAAAATCATTAAAACACTTTTACAAGATAGATAAATCTAACCAAGAATCCGAATGAAAGCATAGAAATATTTAATCGAATGCACAACGGCCATGTCAGTTTAGTCATTCACTATGAAAGGACATGAAATCGAAAATACCTGTTGTTTGATGGTGGCTTCAGCAGCTTCAACCGCTTTCATGACCTGAAACAATCCATCACTCTTGTTCATGCCATTAATGTTGTTGGTGTTGTTGCTATAGCCATTTACACTATCGTCAATGGTCAAGGCAGATAACTGTTGTGACAAATTGCCTCCTCCATCAAACCCAACACCATTTTCCATCTTGAAATTTGTAATTCCAACTGATCTGCAGTGCATTAGCAAGTTCAAACATTGATTCATCTCAAGATTTTACACAAGTAATTGTACTAGGAAAGAATTCATTACAATAAGGTAAACTATTACCCAATTACCTTTAACTTCGCCGATATATATAGGACGGTTATGACGCGAATACGACTAAACAACTGATTCCTCAAATGGATAGAAAGGCAACAGAGCATCCATTTTTCAAGAAAAAAACCCAGTAAAGGAAGGACCAGGCATCATCATATACAAACAAAAATTGACCCAAACCCACATAAAAATTGAAAAGAATAGCACACACCCGTTAATATTCTGATCAAATGGCACTTATGCATCCCATTTTGTGGCAACTGGCTGTCTGTAATAAAGGTGGGAGGGAGGCATGATGGTTAGATCCTAGAAAATACCATGGAGAGTGTCGATGCATATGGATGTGAAGGAGGAAGTGTTGGAAGTTCGAACTACTGGGTGAAGATGTGAAGGCTGAAGAACATAGTTGTGGGCGAACAACATAGAAATCGAATGAAAGAAGAATTGGGGTTCCAATCACTACACTGACTCCCTTGACTTCCCACTTTGGATTGTCAATCCCTAAACAAAAATTGTGTTAGCAATTCCATCCCTTGGATGAATCGCGTACACAAAACCCATGTTTTAAGGGTACAATAGTAAAGCAATTATACAACCAAACAACAATCAAGATACTAAAAAAACACAATCTTTTAATTGCCTCTTCGTTTTTTTCAAACTTTCTTCGACTTCCAATTGGGATTTCAGAACTTTGCCAAAACACATTATCAACCAACTTGTTATAAAATAATATTATTTTAAGAATTTTATCAAAATTGATTACGAATTGAATTCTATTCGAAATGAATAGACGCTATTGAACTTGTATAAAGAAAATGGAAGTAAAAGATGACTTACCCACTCATCCAATCTTGTAGTGACATTGTCAGTTTAACTAGGTAAGTTGAACATTAAACGTCATGTACCGTGTATTTTACACTAATAAAAAATACGAATGATTAAGCCCTCGACTATATTTCTCTTTACGACGATAGGAATCTTCTATGCTTGGTATGTCAAGATTGTGTACATTTTTGGAACAATTACTATGAACACTTTTTGAGGAAAATATTTATGGATTGATTGAGTTGTACCATCATAACCAATGCACTATCTTTATCATATAAGATTTTTTAGTCATATAATTAATTTAAGATATCTCTGATCTTCTCGATAAGTTTCAAGATTTTTTGTATTAATATGGGTTTTTATTGGGGTTTGTGATAAGCGATATTTGTTAGATGTTTGTGTTTAAGATTCTTCATTTTATATGATTTAATTATTTAAAGATAAAACTTTAATACTAATTTTATTCAAATTATTATAAACTTATAATTATCGTAATCAGTTACCTCATAGATTTACTTTTCTTTGTTGACGTTATTCAACCTATTTATTCTTATTTTTATGTTTTTTCAACTTAGGGGCCGTTTACCTAAATGCTTATCGGGTAAGCGTTTATCGTTAGAAGTCAACATTATAATTTATTTTACCGGGTAAGATTGTAGTGCATCAAAATGGTATCGTATGCAACAATTTACCCAGTAAGCACTTATCCGGGTAAGAGTTGTCACCCTCACTTATCGAGTAAGACTCTTCAGCTTTATCATTGTTCTTACTGGGTAAGATTTTTGACCCTTGTCATGTTCATCTGATAAGGAAAGTTACCGGGTAAACGTTTAGTAAACAGCCCCTTAGTTTTTGTTTTCAATGGGGTTATGTAATACAATCTTCAATATTAATACTACAAAAAAGAAAATTACTAGTAAAGATTGTAGCTACTGCCACCATCTTAGCTTTACTACTAATTATGTCTGATGACAACAAATTTAGTAGTAATATTGTATGTCCGCATTTACTTTTGGTGTCGCATTGAAATAAGAGCAAAAAAGAATGTAACAATTGTGTATCAGTAAAGATCATCAAGTTTCCAGGTATGATTTTGATGTAAAAGCCATATTTTCCGATTGGATTACTAGAACATGTTTATATAAGTAAACAACATGAACTTTGAGTTAAATGTTAGGCTAAGACCATGGAATTAAGCAAGAAATCCACAAGAATTTTCTTGAGATAAATCAATAGTTAAGGCTCACTTTTTTGGTATACGTCGTTAGAATCAATGCTAAACATGTTATATGATGCAAACATATGTTAGTAGTTTGTATGCAAAAAGATTGAAAAATTATGATGTTAGTATGGTCAAAATGATGAGAAGGTAGCATACATCAAACCAATTGTCTTTGTGGACCGAATACAAGCATGAATGCAACTTGGTGAGCTTATACAAGGAATTCACACAAGTAATAGAGCATGTGAGATCAAAGTTAATTTGTGATCTCCCACATGTCTAAGTGATATCGAGAGTGAGCTTAAGCTCTGTGACTGCCGTTTATACACAGATCTCTCACATCATAAAACTATCTTATAAAGAAGAGATTGAAGATATAAACCAAAGGTTCTGCTGATTGGCACTTCCTTGTTTCCATCTTCCTTGTTAGTAGAGTTTGTAAGTCGATATAGAGAGAAGTCGCAGTCAGTCTCAGCAACAGGATAGCTAGAATAAGTAATGTCAAACCAAGTCATGAATCCAGACCATAGCTTATCACGTTCTTCTTCTAGTTTCAGACATTCTTCTGCCTCTAAAATAGACCAATTATATGAGATATATTTATGTCCTAGATGATTCTAGAATACCTATTAGTAGTATGCCTAGGTAATCCCTATAATGTATTTTCTAAGCCCAATATTTCTTTTTCTAAAAGAGTCAAAATTTTGATAAGATCTATCTCCCACGAGCAAGTTAAGGAGTTTGTCCAAGCTTCTAAATTTGACTCCCACCAACTCCCAGCTACCACATCAGAACATTTAGTGACATTGTCCCTTCCAATAGACCATCCTAGACACTGCATGGCTCAAGGATATACACATATCCACTTTGGAACTATAAGACTGTCCCTTACCTTCCATGGTACGAAAGGCCTCCATGCATTTTCAATCATTGCTCTAGTAGACACAAGGTTTTTAGAATATCAGCATGCCTGCATGGGAACAATCCAAACTACTCTAAATGTTGGAACTATCTTTGTCACTTTCTATCCAAACTTCAACATATCACTCAACGATCCTTCTTTACATATGGCGCTTAAGGCCCAGATCCAGATTGGTGGTACTCCCTAAGTAAGCACCTTCCAGGCAACATCTCATTACCAGATGGTGTACCGAGTACAAAACCATTCTAAAATAGAGTTATCAGCTTTTGGATTCTTATCACTGCTTCATCGTGTTTAATCTCTTTTTAGATTTTGTTTTCTTTGGAACTCAGAAGTAGTCATTTTGTCTAAATGCGGATGTTACATTTATATTATTAATTGCTTAATCGTAATTTAACCCAATAAAATTATAATTAATTAAAAAAAGTATATTAGTCATTTATCTGTTTAATTAATCATAATTTAATCCATTAAATTACAACTAATTAAAAATAATTTAAATAATTAAACCTTATAATTGTTTTATCCTTCTTATTCAGTTGGTCATATGTGTATGACATATCATGTTGACATTAATTATAAAATCATATCTATAACTATAAACAATGAACTGTATTTAGCAACACAACATCATTACCTAAAATGATAAAGTTTGGTTATTCAACGAATCAACAAAACTCGTGATTAATAAAATATGTGAACATATGGATGCATAATTCAAACACGAGGTTAGTTTGTGTCATTCTCGTCAAGTCTAACATTTGCTTTCTTGATCTCTGAATGGATTGAATAAATAATGAGAAAATTGTACCAAAATGGAACCAACTTTCATCTAATTCCTATTTTGGGGAACCAACTTTCAAAATCATCATTTTGGGGAACCAACTTGCACTTGATTCCTATTTTGGGGAACCAACTTTCAAAATCGTTATTTTGTGGAACCAACTTGTACCTGATTCCTATTTTGGGGAAGCAACTAGCAAAATAATTATAGAAAAATAACTAAAATTCGTTTTTTCCAAATATTAATGCAATAAAATATATTTTTCATTTCAAATCTCGTTTTTTTAATTCAGATATCAAATTGAACATTTTACAAAAAAAATCCAAATTACCACAATAAAAATTATTTTTACTAATGCAAAAAAAATCAATTTACTAATGCAAAAAAATTCAATTTAATAAAAAAAATTAATTGATGCAATTGGTCAGATAAAAAAATCTTGAATGTGATATTTAATATTTATTTTTTATTGCATCAATTAGTTTTTTCTATTAAATTGATTTTTTTTTGCATTAGTAAAACAATTTTTATTGTGGTATGTTGGATTTTTTTTAAAATGTTCAATTTGATATCCGGATTAAAAAAACGAGATTTGAAATGAAAAATAGATTTTATTGCATTAATTTTTGAAAAAAAAAACTAATTTTTGTTATTTTTCTATAATTATTTTGCAAGTTGGTTCCCCAAAATAGGAATCAGGTACAAGTTGGTTCCCCAAAATAGGAATCATGTGCAAGTTGGTTCCCCAAAATGACGATTTTGAAAGTTGGTTCCCCAAAATAGGAATTAGATGAAAGTTGGTTCCCCAAAATATGAATTAGATGAAAGTTGGTTCCATTTTGGTGCAATTTTCCCATAAATAATTGATCCTGATATCATATATCGTTTATGATGCATTTCTTCATTCTAATTTCATCAAGGGACATAGAGGCACTTCTCCTTATAGCAGAAGAGATGAATCTTATCTCTAACAATGCAAGTCTCATCTCATGGTATGATCACACAACCAACGAATATTCTATGATCTATCACTCTATTACAACATAATTATAGCTAATATCAAAGTGTGTGATCTTACCATAGTAGATTTCATATCATCAGATCAAAAGATGTATAATATTATGATCACATGAGAAACACTCATGTGACATCCCATCGATACACAATATCCCCATCTTGTACCCATATGTGGATTCTATTCCCATACAAATCTCTACATATATTGAATTATGACCAGAGTAGATGTAGTTGGCGCATTGTTCGTCAATCTATGTCATATTCATGCTAAAGATAGCTTCGAATTTTGTTATGTTTTTTTTTGTGTTGTTACTATTTATGTCATGAGTTAATTTCTCTAAAGGTGTGAGTGTAAACAAAGTTGAGAGACAACAGATAAGATAACATGGATTGTTATCACATTCTCAAACTTGGTCATTCCTTAGTTGTAAATTTCAAATACAAAGACAAGGTTGATCATTTGTATAGGTGTTAAGGTTGAATAAGAGTTCATCGATGATCTTATGAATAAGCAACCTCAACCTTGAATGATGCATGAAAGTTTGGAATGGCTTATTGAAATTGCGTAGGAATATGAATTGTTACACAAGCAACTTATAGTGGTGTATCAGTAGTCAAATGCCTCTCCATCTTCCTGACATCTGCACTTTTTTTTTTGATTAACCTGGATATCCAACCCGCTATGCAAACCGACTAATCCCAGGACGACCACCTGCTTCGTAGATAGTCCGGAGTCACCGCATTTGAACCTCCGTGGCTACAAGAGAATTTTTATTCCTCCTTAGATTTGAACCTGAGACCTCCTAGTACTTTTGACATTTGGAGTCAAACTCAAACCAATCAGGCACCACTCTTGTGGTTCATCTGCACTTTCTTTATTGTTATCATGAGCTAAATACCCTGATGGTTGTGGTGTGAGTTAGCTAAGAGACGTCAGATAACACTGGTTGATAGTTTGAAATCCTCTAATGATACACACAAGATGGTCACAATGAGTTGGAGACTTGTGAGTAAGCTATTATCTTGAATGATGCGAGAGAACTTGGAAGAGTTCCTACAACCGCATAGGGTTTTGAACAACAATAATGACCTACAATTAGCACACCAGTTGCGTATCAACGTTGCATGGGAACATAAACGTGCTCATAATACTAATAGATCTTCAAAACTCGTAAAAGTTCCTAATATGATCCCCTAACTGGGAGAGACCACAAAGGGTGAGGGCTCGATTAACAAAGGGACTTGGCTCTGATACCATGTATGATTCCCGAACTGGGAGATACCTGACTACCGACAAGTCCATTGGTTATCATAATGGTCACTTCACCAAGACGGTGGGTACTTCTTGTTGAAGTCACCCTTGGAAGAAAGTGGCCACTATACCATTACCCTTGGCTACTGGTTCACTATGAAACTTTTTACAAGGCTCGTGTCCGCACCCACTTCTTGAAAAATTGTTTGTTCCTCCAATCCACTAAAAATATTTGTTCAACTCTAATTGGAACTTGCAATACTCAAAGTTCATAAAATCTCTTATTCATGGTAGGACAAACCCCATCAACACGATATTGGTATCTACCATTGCACTACTTGCAAGGCGACGACGATAATGAGTGTATGCTCATTAATCTTTATGGGAGTTATTGCTAGTATAAGGTCTAATTCCTGTGGAAGTCACTAAATTAATTCTGAAACACGATAGTATAAATGAGTATATATATATACTTGCACAAGGTCACTACTAGATTTTGTGATAACAAATGTCACAAGTTGTAAAATCCACAAACAGTTGTGCATAGTGCACACCAAGTGTTTGATAAAATTCCTAACTCAGAAATTTGCCACCAGAACATCATCAACATATGTTAAAGGCTCTCATGCCATTGGCAAACATCCTACAAATGATGTGCACAAGAATACTCGATTCAAAGTCGAGGAAGTAGTGGACATGGAAAGATAGAAAGTAAAATATTACACCAACATGAAAGATGCAGCACAAGTAGAATGGTTCATCATCCATTATGTTTATGCGAAATCATAACAACCAACATGCCCTTCAGTTTTAGGGGTGTTACTAATTCCAACTTACTATTCATCGTTCCCTAATCGAAAACGCTGCTGTTCCTTTTAAAAAAAAGACCGGATCCAGCTCCATCCCCACCCCACCCACCAGCCTATACAAAACCCAAAACCACACCTCAAACATGCAAACCATTGCCATTCCCATTGCTATGGATGCCATTCAAATTGCCGTTACCATACCTATGTGGCGATGCTGCTGCTGCTGCTGCGGCTGTTGATATACCATTCACAAATCCTTTGGTCTTTGTGCCAACGCTTTTCTTTAGCAGTGCATCCAACTGTCCGCTAGCTGCTGCTATAAGTCCTGTAGTCATCATTCATAACCATCATTTAGTTTAGATTACCATTTACTAATTAATCATATATATATATATATATATATATATATAAAATTGTATAATCAGATTAATACCTAAGAAAAGCACAGAAGGTTTTCCTGGCCTAGACTTAAACTCAGGATGAAACTGAACCCCCACGAAATACGGATGATTACCAAGTTCAATAATCTGCAAACCCAATTAATTAATTAATTACAAAAGTCTTGAAGAGAAAAATATGCATTAAGAAAATTAAATACCAACCTGCATCCTCCTACCGCTTTCATCTTTGCCTGTAAAACTCAGACCAGCTTTTTCTAGCTGTAATACCATTTCGGGATTCACCTAGTGCAAATAAGTTTTAATCATTAAGCTGATTAATAAATATTCAAACTTTAACAAGAAAAAAGCCCATCTAAATACCTCATATCGATGCCGATGTCTCTCATCAATGAACCTCTGATTACCATACCTACAAACAAGATCCATGATGCCCTTTAGTTATTGAATTTACAACTAAAATCCCTATGAATTTGTATATGGATATTGCTTACAGTTGAGCAGCTTTACAGTCTGCTACTTGGAAATATGTTCTCCTGGATCCAAGCCGCATTGTACCACCCATATGAGTTTTTGAACCCTGTTGTCATTCATACGAGTGAATAATAATAAAAGATGACTGAAGAGGCATTTAGATATTCAAAAAGTTTGAGCGCAAACCTCAGGCATAAATATAACACACGGGTTTTTAGTATTTGGATCGAATTCCGTGCTATTTGCATTTTGAAGACCAAGAACAGATCTGGCATACTCAATGACAGCAGTTTGCATTCCTAAACAAATGCCAAGGTAGGGGATATTGTTCTCACGGGCATATTTAGCCGCAATTATTTTCCCTTCCACACCTCTATCACCAAAACCACCCGGAACAAGAACAGCATCTGCAGACTATATTTATAATAAAGAAACATCTTGTTAGAGGAAACATCCACAACCGTTACTTTTAACTTACAAACAGCAATCACAACATCAAACAAACCTTCAAGGAATCCCAAGCAGCTTGGTTAACATCAGGACTCTGTAACAAGAAAATGTCCATCATGATACATCTACATAAAAAAATTCAAATCAAGGTTAAGAAAATAGAGTTGGAGTAGACAGTAACTTTTATGGCAGTTGCATCTTCAAGATCACTGGCAGACACCCAATTGATGACTAATTTCCTGCGACAAGCAACAGAAGCATGCAACAAAGCCTGAAAAGTAGACGATGCCGTTAACAATTGAAATACACTATATCCATTCTCTCTCTCTCTCTCTCTCTATATATATATATATATAATATATATAAGATGGAGCATCTTTCAGTTAAAAGCTTGTGTGAATAAATATCACCTTGAGTACAGATAGGTAAGAATCTGAAAGCCCTGTGTACTTCCCAACCATGGCAACTCTGACCTGTAAACAGAAAATGCAACGAAACATTAGCAAAAGAAATATAATCTTCTTTGAAATCTGATGTGTGGCTTGAAGAAACTCTGACCGGCTCATTCAGCATGTCACAAAGTTGAGCCCTGGCTGTCCATTCTCCCAGCACAGGTTTACTTGGGATACTGTACAAGACAACAATCTCAGTGACTTGATAAAAAAGGAAAACAAGTAAGGGCAGCAGGTTAAGAGGACAAACCATGGAAGGTCCAACACCTTCAGTATTGCTTCATGAGCCTTCTGGTCCTAAAGAGAAAAAAGAACACCAACTTCAGCATTCACTTCTTGATAACAATGAGTAAACAAAGAAGAGCTTTACAAGTTGTACATACACGTAAGAGTAGAGGTATATGCCATATATTTGAGACATCATAGAGAGTGACTATGTTCTCTTCCTGAAAGTAGAGACATTCATTTGAAAATGATCATATAATAAAGCATCTAAACACATTCATTATGGCAAAATCCCCATTTTGTTACCGGAACATGGCAAAATCTTGAGAGTTTCTCCTTCACGTTCACATCCAGTTCCTGCATATCCATTAAATCCATGTAAGCAGGCAGCAATATATTAGGCAATGTCTTATTGTTATCAAACAAGCAAGAGAATTGAGTCAGACTGTTGTGCTGCGGCAAGCTAATATATTAGGCGTCAATCCCAAGCTTCTTAATCCGCGAACACTGTGTTGGGTTGGTTTCGTTTTCTGAACAACGAAAAAAAGCAGAATTATTATTATTATTATATAAAAAATAAAATTGTAATTCGGTCAAAGAAACCGTAGAGGCATTTCATATAAACTCACTTGTTCACCAACAACATTTAGAACAGGTACAAGGCTGACATGTATTAAGCAAAAGTTTCCAGCACCTACCAACACCGGACGAAAACAAGTGAGTCGCAGAACTTTTTGGTAAAAATTCGTTGTCATAAAAACCAAACCAGAAAAATATTTACCAAAACGGTACGAGAATTGTCCAAGAGCCTCAATAAATGGCATAGATTCAATATCCCCTATTGTACCACCCAATTCGATGACACAAACATCAGGTGGACCTTCTTTTCCATCTACTGGTATTGCTGCTACCCGTTCAATCCAGTCTTGAATGGCATCCGTGATGTGGGGAACAACCTGAACGGTTTTTCCCAGATAATCTCCCTTCCTCTCCTTGTCAATCACCGACTACACCCAAAAATCATGACCAGTCATACAGATACAGCATGAGACGGACCATCTTCAATATGCATAACAAATGTTTAGTTACCTGGTAAATCTTCCCAGTTGTGATATTGTTATCACGAGTCAACTTAACATCTAGAAACCGCTCATAATTTCCAAGGTCCAAATCCACCTTCAAACAAAACATCTCATAAGCAAAGTAACATGCATGTGTAATTGGATTATTTCTACAATACAAAACCCACAAAACATCAAAAAAGATTTGGATGAAATGTTTGATGAATCCAGCTCTTCCAAATTCAGTCAGTCGATTATCCAAAAATGAGAGGCATTCACAACTTAGAGTAATGCTAAAAGACATGCATTACAATGCTAAGATGTTACTTACTTCTCCCCCATCATCCAATACAAAAACTTCCCCATGCTCGAAAGGAGACATTGTTCCTGCATCTTTATTCAAATATGGATCTGCATGGAAAATGCATTCAAAAAGAGAACAGCTTTGAGTCACGAATCCGAAAAAGATGATAAAAAATGAAATCATGCAGCATGCTAAGTTGCAAACCTCGTATACTTGAAGAGAAAAGAAAACACTCTCATCACTTGATTGAGAGAGAAAATCTTGAAGCAACGGTTCTTTATATCAGTGATTTTTGTTAAACCTAGTGTGTTACATACAACTTGAACTCAAACATTTGTGAAACCAAAGGAAAACAATCAAAAAACTTAAGAAGTCCAAAAGCACAACTCCACCTCATATTGGATTATATACACTTTTCTTGGCGTTGTTGGAAAAGAGAACAAAGAGAAGGAAAACCATCAAAATCTAATTTGTATCGAAGCACCAAGGAAAGAACAAAAAACTCCAAATCATAATCTAGTCAATATTAACTCCATCAAGAAAAAACAAAACCCTTTCTTAACACATGGGAAAATCCATTAAACAGAAAGGGAGGAACACATAGAGGCAGATACATACAAGACTAGATTACACAACAACAACAAAGACTGCTTCTTCTCATAAAAATTAACAACTAAACAAATAAAAAAGTGAGGATGACTAGATACCAAAAACAAATCATGCCATTAATCTAAATTATCCATTTATCCAATGGGGAAAAAACAATGTGTCTTTTTACTCTGACCATCCCATGACTACAATTTTGTGGTGTTACTGTTAAACTTGCAACACTTGAAGCTATAGATATGTATATTATCCATTGAAAGCAGTAGAAATTTATTGAGGTGATTGGATTCAGTCCATGCTTTATTTAGAGAACCCAACACCAACACACAACAGTGCTTCTTTCTCAAAAAGAATTAACAACTAAACAAATAACAAAAAGAGGATGCCTGGATACACAAACAAATCATGCCATTAATCTAAGTTATCCATTTATCCAGTGGGGAAAACCAATGAGAGTTTTTTATTCTGTCCGTCCCATCAAAACTGCAACGATCGCACATTCTTATTGGGTGAAATTGCAACAATGATTTTGTTGACAAAACTTCATGCTATAGATGCGTGTGTGTGTATATACAAATATATATATATATATATTATCCCATTGGAAAAGCTAGAATTTGCTTTGAACCCACAGAGAAAAGGGTGAAGGAAATTGTCAACTTCCATTCCATCGTATTACAAACATGATACAATTGAAAGAGGCGTTAGAAAGTGACTGAAACAAACCAATTTTGATTGAAGTGACACGAAGGCCGCAAGCCTGAAGAAGAAGACCAATACTGCTCGCAGTCACTCCTTTTCCGAGTCCACTAACAACGCCCCCAGTCACCAATACATACTTCATCCCGTCCCTGCTAATTACACCAAATTTTCAATCAAAATAATGGCAAAAAACAGATTAGGAAACCAAGAACAGCCAAAAGAAAATTACCCCTTTTTCCTTATCACAACACCATTTCTTTCAACAAAACATTAAGCCCTTACTTAATACACAAAAAGCCAACAAAATTAACATAAAAAACCGCCATGATTTTAAAACATATAGAACAACAATCAAACGGTTCCCCTGTTCTTTCCCCTGCTTGTTACACCAGTTTTTCTACAAACATTAAACCATTACCTCAGAAATAGATTTAAGAGACCCAACAACATAAGCAGCAACAAGAAATACCATCAAAAAATCAAAAACAGAGATGGTTCCCCTGTTTTTTACCTTCCCATTACATCATAGTTTTTCTCCACAAACATTAAACCCCCTCCTAAAAGGAATTTATAAAACCAAGAAAACAGCAGCGGCAACAACAACAAGAAGAAGAAGAAGAAGAAAAACCCAAAACCCAGAAAGTCAAAACGAAATAGAACATTACCCTTTTGCAGAGGCTTGTGTAAATCAAAATATGAGTGAGAGAGACGTTGAAGAATGTGAATGCAAAGAAGATGGGATGGGTTGAAGAAAGCAAGAAATGAGATTTGTATAGAGGCAGAGAGTTATGAATGAAAGAACTGCAAGGTGTGGCGGCTATATATGCAGTAAAGGAAAGGGGAAAAAGAAGCAAAATTTCCTCCAAATCACCCCCTAAACCCCTATTTTTCCCTACGTCCTCACTCGGCTTCTGCCGTTGCCTCTGACTCTGCTACCCGTGACCCTACTACACGTTTCACATGACCCAAGCAAGCCCTCCTCGCACTTTCAAAACCCAAAAACTATTTTATCTTACCCAGACCATCCATATCAAACTAGTTTGACAAATTAAATTCTCTTTTCGATAAAAATTAAAATTATTAAAAATATATTTTTAAAAATAATAAATTGTAAATATTTTATAATCTAAATAAACTTCTAATAATATAATACATTAATTAGTATAAATAAGATAGTAAAACAATTAAATAATACGATATGTTAATTGAAACTAGAAAAATACTTGCACAATGCAACGAAATACATCTCGATTTTAATGTTTTGTGTTTTTTTATTTGTTTCGGTCGATATTATAATATGATTTTATATGATTTTGAGAAAACGATAATATTTTTATTTTTAAATAAGATATAAATATGAAGACATCATAAAGAATTGAATTTTTTAATTATCAGTATCAAATTAACTATTTAAATTTTTTTAGTGTATTTTTTAATGTATTTTTTTACTTTTTGTTTAATATATTTTTTTTATAAAGATAATAATTAATTATTTTGTTATAATTCAATAATTATCCTAATTATATTTTAAATTTTTTTATATTTAAAATGAGATGCTTATTTTCTCGATTATATTTATATGCAGTTAGTTACACGAATTTAAATATGAAGCTTTAATAAGTTGTACTTACTCACAGTTTACTTGTAATATTGAATTTTAAGTAATATACATCAATAAACAATATTTCATACATAAAAAGTGGTTTTTAAGAATTTTTATAAAATGTATTATAATATAGTATAGATAATTTAAAATTGATTATTATATATATATACTATAAAATTTGAATTTTCTGAAATAAATTTTAGAAAAAATCTACGTTAATCTATGATTTTTGATAAGCATGACATATAGCACGAGTAACAATAAAATTGGTCAATATCACATATCCTAATTGATTAAAGACTAGGTTTAAGTAAGGTATGCGAAAGAAAACCTATCTTACGTTGTTGACAATGAAACTTAGCATTAGCAAAGATATTAGTTTTTCAACAAATATATAATTAATAATTTAATTAAATAATAAATTATTTGGCATAATCAAACAAATAAGTAACATATCAATAAAGCTTATTTGCATCTAAACGATTACTCAAAAAATAAGTTGATTTATGTTTGACAAACAATGCCTATCGTGTAGTTTTTTATTAAGAAATTATTAATGGTTGTGGTATGATTTTTAGTAGAAAATTATTTTTTGTTAATTGTCACAACAATATTTTTTTGTTGATGTGCCGATGAATAATATATAAACTCCAATGGATTCTATATAATTTTTTAGAATCAAAAGTCAAAATCTATAAAATAAATTCTCTATTTTAGAGATTTCATCATTGTTTACACCATTTGAATATTCTATAATTTGAAGATCCCAATACACTTTTTTTTATAAATTATATAAAATAATATTAATTCAACCTTTTTGGTTGAATAAATAAAAAAAACTCATTTCTCTCTCATTCAATGAGGTTTTTAAAGCATTCTCTATATTTTTATATTTTAGAGTATCTCTAACAGATTTTTTAAAATAGAGAAAATGAAGGTTTTGTTCTTTATATTACTCTAATATATTCTTTATAATGTTCTCTAAAATAGAGAAAGCATGAAAAACATCCAAATTTAGAGAATTTTTTAAAACTTGATGTTAAGAGAGAGAAGTGGTTGTTTTATGCAATCCTACCAATGAGATTGAACCATTATTATTTTATTTAAAGTTTCTTTTTAAAAGCATATCGGGATGATAAATTATGATAATATAATTTATGTTAAGATCTCTAAAATAGATAATCTGTTGGAGTTGAATGTGATTCTTTTATAAAGATTCTAATTTTTGGTTTTCTATTTTAGGAAAACTAAAGAGAATTTGTTAAAGATGCTTTTAGAGAACAAGATAGGAAATCTATTGAAGTATTATAAATAACATAAACTTCATTTTCCCAATTTTAGAGAATCTGTTGGAGATACTTTTAAATTTATTTTATGTCACATTATGTTTTCTGAATTATATTTATAAAAAATGTATGAATAATTTATTAAATATGATCGCTAGTTAATATTGATATAATTTTTTATTGATTTAACGTTATATTCAATTTGTTTTATAAATTTTGACTTTTGATATATTAACAAATATTAAAAAACACAAAATGTAATTTATAGTACAATACAATTACATAATAAAAAATTCAAATTTAACACAATGCAATATATTCGATTATTTTATGATATATTAATGAATAGTAAAAAAGCAAAATATAATTATATTACAATACAATATGAAATTAATTCTTTTAATGCATAATTATTTTATAGAATAGAAAATATTTAAAATAAAATATTTTATGAATTTTACTTTATAATAATTATTTAACTAATAAATTATTTGAGATTAAGTTGTAATAAAAAATATTTAATTATAATTTCGTCGTTATTTGATTAAAATATAGGTTTTTTATGATGAGATATCACTTATAAACTACAGGGACATTATCTTTTAAAAACTCTCTCCATAGACCATATCCGTTGATTTTAGCAAACCAAAGGTACCAAAATTGCATAACTTTTTATTATATTATTGAATATTTAATTAATATAGTTTAGAGTAAATTAGGCTTGTTAATCGGTTGATATTTATTGGATGTGAGGGGAACCAAACCGATCCAATCATCTATTGGATGTTGGATTTTGCCAACCAAATCGATCCGATTAACATTGAATAACCGATCTAATCCAATCCAATGGATGATTGGATCGGTACGGTTCCATCCATTGGATATTTTTAGTGGATATTTATCGGATATCCAATGGAATTGGATCCATCAAGTGTGTTAATTCAATACAATTCTTTAGCAATGATACAAATTAGTTAATCACTTTTAATATGTGTTAAAACCAACATAAGAGAAGTTAAAAATTCAAACTCTCACACAAAACAAAATCTGATTTAAGCAATTTGAAAACAAATTAATTGGATGATAGTTGGATAATGGTTGGATGGATAACTGGATGGTCATTGGATTTTGGTCGGTTCGGTTCGATTCGATTCGATTAAGGTCGGTTCTAAACTGTCATCCGAGAATCGATCGATCCAAATTGGATGTTGAAAATTTCAATCCGATCCGACCCAATTATGGTCGATCGGTTCTAACTAGATTGGTTGATTTTCTGCACACCCTTAGAATAAACTACAGTTCATGTGGTTTGTCAAAAATAAACTACAAAAATGCCCTCATTTAAAGGAACTTTTAACGTCCATGAGAGGAAGGGAGCAAATCCAGAAGTTTTTGCAGACCACGATGGCTATCTTGTAATCTCAAAACTGCAAGGACGAAAATTGTTATTTTCGACAAAGGGACCAAATTTGTAGTTTATTTTAATGTAACATCTTCAAAATAAAATAAAAAAAACTGTTGGAGTTGAATATCTATACTATATTATAAAACATTTGACAAAAACTATTAAAAATCATTTTTTATGCATTAAGTATTGTTTATTAATGCATATTACTTAAAACTCAAGATTACAAGTAGATTTGTGTATAAGTACAACTTATTAAAACTCCATATATGAATTCGTGTAACTAACTGCAAATAAACATAATCAAATACAGGATAAACATCTCATTTTAAATATAAAAAATCTAAATATAATTAGAATAATCATGGATTTCTAACAGAATACTTAATTATTATCTTTATAAAATGTTATATTATTAAACAAAAAATAAATTATTTCATTATTAAACTTAAATTAAATTATAATAAAAATAAATTAAAGAAATTACATAAAAAAATGAGAACTTTTAGATAGTTGATTTGATACTAACATTGATATATTTTTTTCAAATTTTTATGATATCTTGAAATTTATATTTTATTCAAAAATAAAATCATTATTATTTTCTTAAAACACATAAAATCGTATTATAATATCGACAGAGACAAATAATAAAATAAAACATTAAAATTGAGATGTATCTTGCTGCATTGCACGAGTAACTTTCTAGTAATTTATTACGAGCTTTTGATTACTTATTCTCTATCTTGAATAAATTTCCAGGGAATCTAGTTTATCTGTAATTTCTCCAAAATAAAGAAAAAAAAGCCAAAATCTTCAAAAAGTTACATACAATTTAGAGTATTTCAACGTTAATTATATTACTAAAATATTTAATAATATAACAACAAAAATTTCTCTCTATCCTTCCATTTAATTTCATTGGTTAGTTGAAGGTTTTCATCTCATACTTTCTCCATTCTGAATAAAGTTTTGGGGAGCAAGAAAACTCCATAAACTTTATTTTTCTCGATTTGGAGAAGCATGTGAAGATGCTTTAACAGTTATTAGAAGCGTACTCATGTATTGCAGTTTGATATATCTCGATATTAATGTTTCGTTTATTATTTGTCTCTATCCATTTATATTATGGTTATGAGAAAACGATAATGTTTTTATATTTGAATAAAATATAGATTCGAAGACCCCGTAAAAATTCAAAAATAATATATCGATATTAATATCAAATTAACAATTTAAAAGTTTTTTTTTTGTATATTTCTTTGTTCAATTTTTATTATAACTTAATTTAGGTTTGAATTAAATTTATTTTAGGTTTAATAATATAATGTTTTTTATAAAGATATTTTTTAGTTAAAAATTTTAATTGTATGTTAAAGTTCAATAATGAAGTAATTTATCTTAGATTTAATAATATAATGTTTTAAAAAAATAATAAATAAGAATTCTATTAGAACTCAATAATTATCCTAATTATATTTTTATATTTAAAATAAAATATTTATCATGTATTTGATTATGTTTATCAGTT